CAGGATGGACATTTTGTCCAAGGAGTGGGAGGGGGAGTTGAAGTGGTTCGCGACTGGGAGGTGCAGTCGTTTGTCATGAACCGAGCGTAGGTGCTTCACAAAGCAGTCTCCAAGCCTCTGCTTGGTTTCACCAATGTAGAGGAGGCCACATCGGGAACAGCGGATACAATATACCACATTAGCGGATGTGCAGGTGAACATCTGTTTAATGTGGAAGGTTTTCTTGGGGCCTGGAATGGGGGTGAGGGTGGAGGTGTAGGGGCAGGTGTAGCACTTCCTGCGGTTGCAGGGAAAAGTGCCAGGGGTGGTTGGGCTAGTGGTGAGTGTGGAGTGGATGAGGGAGTCGTGGAGAGAGCGGTCCCTCTGGAAGGCAGATAAGGGTGGGGAGGGAAAAATGTCCTTGGTAGTGGGGTCAGATTGCAGGTGGCAGAAGTGGCGGAGGATGATGCGTTGAATCCGGAGGTTGGTGGGGTGATACGTGAGGATGAGGGAAATTCTGTCTTTGTTGTTATTGTGGGGAGGGGGTGTGAGGGATGAGTTGCGGGAGATGCGGTCGAGGGTGTTTTCGACCACTGTGGAGGGGAAATTGTGGTCCTTGAAAAACAAGGACATCTGGGATGTCTGGGAGTGGAATGCCTCATCTTGGGAGCAGATGCAGCGGAGGTGAAGGAATTGGGAATAGGGGACGGCATTCTTGCAGGAAGGTGGATGAGAGGAGGTGTAGTCTAGGTAGCTATGGGAGTCGGTGGGCTTGAAATAGATAGTAGGTGGTTGCCGGAGATGGAAAGAGGTCCAGGAAGGAGAGAGAGGTATCGGAGATGGTCCAGGTGAACTTAAGGTTGGGTTGGAAGGTGTTAGTAAAGTGGATGAACTGTTTGAGCTCCTCGTGGGAGCACGAGGCGGTGCTGATGCAGTAATCGATATAATGGAGGAAGAGGTGGGGGATGGGGCCAGTGTAGCTGCGGAAGAGGGACTGTTCCATGTGTCCTACAAAGAGGCAGGCATAGGCTCCTAATCCAGCTCTCCCCCCAATCCCACTCCAAATCCAGGCCTTCACTTCTGCTCCCACTGATCTGCATTGTGGCCATATTGCATTATGAAAAACCACTCCATAAGTAAGATTAGCTATTTATTGAGCATTACAGTGAAACTTTCTGATTATCTGGGCAGCATGCATAACTTGGACCGAAGGGTCTGTTTCTGTGCTGTACATCTCTGTGATAAGTGCATACTAATTTTAACAGATTGCAGTAGTAGTAACAAAAAATGCAATATGCCCATACTGTTTTGGATATTTGTTTATGGTAAGCAGCAGAGCGAAACAATATGCCTGAGTAAAATTGATCTTTAACACAAAAGTAAAGTTTTGAAAATGTTGGAAATGTGACTGGACAAATTGATCAAGTAATGTAACACAAAGTTTTCAAAAAACTGTAGTTATATATCAGGTCCAAGATCATAGAATCATTCAGTATAGACAAGGCCGTTCGACCCATCGAGTCTGTACTGACAAAAAACTACTAAATCGACACTAATCCCACTTTTCAGCACTTGGTCCATACCTTTGAATGTTTTGGCAGTTCAAGTGCTCAACCAAGTACTTTTTCAAGGTTGTAAGGTTTCTGACCTCAACTTCCCTTCCAGGCAGTGCATTTCAGACTTCTGCCACAATCTGGGTGAAAAAATATTTTCATAAAATCCTCTCTAAACCTCCTACTTTGCCCCTTAAAATTATGTTCCCTTGTTATTGACTCTTCAACTAAGGAGAACAGCTGCTTTCTAACTGTCCTGTTCATGCCCCCCATAATCTTAGATACTACAGCAGGTTCCTTCCCAGCCTTCTCTGCTCTAAAGAAAGAAACCCGAGCTTATCCAGCCTTTCATTATAGCCAAACTGCTCTATCCCAGGCAACATCCTGGTGAATCTCCTCTATACCCCATCCAAATCAATCACAACCTTCCTATAGTGCAGTGACCAGAACCGCACGCAGTGCTCCAGCTGTGGCCTAACCAAAGTTTTGCACGGCCTAACCGAAGTTTTGCACAGCTCTAACATAACCTCCCTGCTCTTATATGCTTTGCCACAACTGATAAAGGCAAGTGTCCCATTTGCTTTAACTACCCTATTAACCTGTCCTGCCACCTGTGGATAAAACACCCCAAGATCCCTGTTTCTTTGAGCTGCCATTCATTGAGTACTCCTTTGTCTTGTTACTTCCTTCCAAAGTGCATCACCTCAAACGTATCCGGTTTATATTCCACTGATTTGCCATCTGACCAATCCATCTATATCCCCATGTAACCTAAGAACTGCTTTCTCACTGTCAACTATCCGGCCAATCTTCATATCATCTGCCAACTGACTTAACACCCCTTCCACAATTTATTCTATATCGTTTATACATGTTACAAACAATAGGGAATCCATACTGATCCCTATGGACATTGGCCTCCAAACACACAAACAACATTTTACCGCTATCCTCTGTCTCCGACCGCTGAGCCAATTTTGGATCCAAATTGCCAAGTTACCTGGATCCCATGTACTTTCACTTTCTTTATCAATTTCCCATGTGGTACCTTGTCAAAAACTTTGCTAAAATCCACATAAACATCAAATGCACTACCCTCATCTATACACCTGGTCACCTCTTTGAAAAAATCAATCAAATTTTGTTCGATATGAACCTTCCTCTAATGTGCTGACTATCCCTGATCAAACTTTACCTTTCGAAGTAGAGATCAATTCTCTCTTTCAGAATTTTTTCCAATAGTTTCCTACCATTAATGTGAGACTCAATGTTCTATAATTCCCTGGTTTATCTCTACAACTCATCCTGAAAAGTGCAACCACATTAGTTGTTCTCTAATCCTCTGGCACCTCTACTGTGGTCACAGAGGAATTAATATTTGGGTCAGAGCTACTGTAATTTCCTCTCTTGTCTTCCACAGCAGCCTGGGATACAAATCATCTGGATCTGGGGATCTCTTCATTTTAAAGCTTGCCAAAACCTCCAATGCCTCATCACTCCCTATGCCAAACTGCTCAAGAACATTACAGACTCTTTTCCCAAAATCAATCAGAAACCTTATAACCTTGGAAAAAGTACTTGGTTGAGGACTTGAACTGCCAAAACATTCAAAGCTATGGACCATGTGCTGGAAAGTGGGATCAGTGTCGATTTAATAGTTTTTTGTCAGTGCAGACTCGATGGATGGAAGGCTCTCATCCATGACTCTATGATCTTGAACCTGATACATAACTACAGTTTTTTGAAAACTTTGTTACGTTACCTGATCAATTTGTCCTGTCACATTTCCAAAATTTTACTCATGAACATTGTTTCGCTCTGCTGCTTACCATAAACAAATATCCAAAACAGTATGGGCACATTGCATTTTTTGTTACTGCTACTGCAATCTGTTAAAATTAGTATGGACTGACCTACCAGTCAGGAGACAGATGTGAAGAACTCGTTTAACATGTTTAACATTTTAAACTCATTTGATGTCCTCTGGCTCCACACATAGATTGCCCCCTTGGTCCATAGCAAGGCTTGAATTTTCCCTGGTTATCCTCTGCCCCTTAATATACTTATAGAGCATCTTGGGATTCTCCCTAATCTTACTTGCCAGTATTTTCCCATGCCCCTTCTTTAGTTTCCTAATTACTTTCTTAAGATCCCCCCTTCGTGCTTCCTATACTAGGGCCGTGAAACTTCTGGTGCCTTTGTAGCTGTTAAGTCTCTCTTTTCCTTCTTATCCAGTACTGAATATTCCTAGTCATCCAGGGTCCTCTGTGCTAGTTGCTCCTACGTTTGACCCTAAATGTACACTTCCGACATTCACCCAGAGGGTTAGAAAACAACCACCCAGAGGGTTAGAGGATTGTGGACATCCAGACCCACTGCCTAAAAGTTAGAGGTAGAAACTTTCAAGACATTTAAGAACAATTTTGATGAGAACTTGAAACACCATTGCAAACAAAGCCAAGTGCCAAGTGCTGGAAAATGGTATAGAATAGATGGATGTTTCACGGCCAGTATGGTATGATCGGCTGAAGGGCATCTTACCATACTGTACAAAACCCTTCTGACCAAGACTGGTTCTACTTTATTATTTTGATATTAGCATTACTTTTTCCTGCTTTCCCCCTCTTCCTTTGCTCCTCTCTTCTTTAGAATAGAGTTCCATGGATTATAGACATCCTCCAGTACTCAATCTAAATTTGTCGTACTTGAAATATTTTATAAACTCTCATCTAAAGTATACACTTGTGTACTTTCAGCAGATGTTGGTGAATGAAAACCCTGGTTTAGTTTCCCCCACCTAGCTTTTCCCTGGAGCATTAGAGGCTGACAGCTAACCTTATAGAGGTTTATAAAATCATGATAGGGTGGAAAGCCAAGGTCTTTTTCCCAGGGTAGGGGAGTCCAAAACTAGAGGGCATAGGTATAAGGTGAGAGAGGAAAGATTTTAAACAGACCTGAAGGGTAACTTTTTCACACAGAGGGTGGTGCATGTTTGGAATGAACTGCCAGAGGAGGTGGTGGAGTCTGGTACAATGACAACATTTAAAAGACATCTGGATGGGTACATGAATAGGAAGGGTTTAGAGGGATTTGGGCCAAATGCTGGTAAATGGGACTTGATCAGTTTAGGATATCTGGTCGGCATGGATGAGTCGGACCGAAGGGTCTGTTGCCGTGCGGTATGACTCTACGAATCTATGAGTGAGAAGTGTACAGCCGTCTCCTGTCAAAGAACCGAACAGAAATGCAGTGAGAGGGACATTACCCCTTTAAGACAGTAGCAAGTGATATCTGACCGTACCATTTCTTTCCAGGGATAGACTTTAGAGCGTAAACTTTTCAAAAATGAAAACTGATTGCATTTTCAAATATCTTTAGACAGAAAACCTCATTTTTAAAACAATAGAAGTATCAGTTGTGCCTGAGGTCTGCCAGTTACCAAGTGATTCCTGCGACCATCCGCTCAATCCTCCCCCACCCGGATTGTGAGAGGAGTGGCCCGAACCGGCAAGATGGCGGCGGCCAGTTACCTGCTGGAATCCCAGGAGCATTTCAAAAATAACGGCCGCACTAAGGAATTCTCGGCCCATACGGCCAAGGTGCACTCGGTGGCTTGGAGCTGCGATGGACGCAGGCTCGCGTCTGGCTCTTTCGACAAGACAGCCAGTGTGTTTGTGCTGGAGAAGGATCGGCTGGTGAGTGGCGAGATGAAACAGAGAGGATGAGAGGGGAATCAACCTTCAACTCGGTTTAGCTCCCTCTTTCCCCCACACCCACACCCCCAACCCACCCCACTCCCCCCCAACTACCCCAACCCCCCGCCACCCCGCCTCCTCCCCCACCCCCCCATCCCCCCCCACACCCCATTCCCCCCA